CATGGCCGTCAACGGCGTCATTGAAGACGCCACCCTTCACGGGATACTCGATCTCGAGCTTGTAAGTCCCGTCGGCCAGCTCCTTGCCGGCCCTTTCCTTACGGGGCTCTTGGCCGATAGGCGGCGGTTGAGATAGAATCGCCGAAGAAGGGACCGAAACCGCGCCCACAACGGCAATGGCATTAGAACCCCCGACATCATCATCTGGTATGGCCACACCCCCGGCACCAGCATCCACCAGAGGGGAAGCCCTTTTCGGCTTCTTGGATTGCATGTCGGCCTCGGTAAGTTTTTTCTGGCCGTCATCGGCGGGCCGCTTCTTCTTCGGCTGCATTGACGGTTTCTTCGCCGCATCAAAGCCTTGTTGAGCGCCGCTCGCAGCGGCCATCTTTGCGGCCTCCTTTGCGGCCATCTCCTCCTTCGCCTTAGCTTTGGCCAGGGCCATGACGGATCTACGATCCATAGCAAAGTCTGCACAACAAGGGAAACAAACAGTTAGCAAAAACAAAAGGAAACATAGACGAAGACACCAGGGAAGGTATTACCATCGGCATCAGCAGGAATGCCCATATCCGGGCCGTCAGCCTCCTCAAAGGTGGTGGTCATCTTCGGCCACAACTCGATATCACCTTCCTTGTCACCATATACGTGATACCTCATGAAGCTGAGGGCGGTCATCTTGTAATCCGTGATGTAATGTTTCACGCTCCTCGGCCCATCCTTCAGAAACGCCGCTACCTGGGCATCCAGAATATTGCTCTTCGGCACGTCATGCAGGGTGAACTTACCGTCGTGACCAACTGAAGGAAACTCCGTGCCGTCCTCACCCAAGGACACGAAGACGAACTTGCTCTTCCATCCATGAATAGACGAAGGGAGGTCAGTGAAACTCCTCTTCTTCGGTAGCTGTTGGAGGTTAGCGTAACCAACACAGTTCTTATGGCTCCCTCGGCCAATCTGGTACAGGTTCATGAACAATGCCGTTGTCGGCCTAAAATCTAGCTCATCTCAGCGGAGAAGAAAGCCGACGATGAGTGAATAGCTGTTGGGAGTCAGCAAGGCCGAAGGGAGGCCAACCATGTCCAGATACTCCGTAATGAAGGGGTGAAGGGGAAACCTAAGTCCCTTTGCGAAGCTCATGGGTTATACTCCAAAATACCCCGGAGGTGGATTCAACACGTGATCCGTCGTCTTGGGCGCCCTAACCCGCCCATACGGCCCCACGTACATCTGGGCCACCAGGTAATCGACCACACTACTCTCCGGCTTGATCAGGTAAAGGTTGATGAGATCCAGGTAAGAGAAACCTGGACCCCTCTTCGGCTGCCGCCTTCTCATCGGAGCAGCTCCCTTCACAGCAGAAACCGGCTTCGGGCAGGGGATCACAACCGATGTAGACGCTCCGTCCACAGCACGTGAAGCCACTACGTCTTCACCATCAGACGACGAGGTGGCCTCTTCGTCCTCACCTTCACCCTCCCCTGACTTGAAGGAGCTCAACTCCTCTATCTCCTCACAGCACTCCTCCACCACCTGGTAATCAAGGGACTTAGCAGAGGGCTCATCGTCGTACGTGTAGTACTCGTCGTCCAAAGGCTTCATTATAACAATTAACTAGAGCCTAAAGATTTCTACTTTGGATCTAAGGGTTTTTCTCCACTAACAAAGGATCAATGGCCTAGGAAGCGAAATAGGCAAAGTACAGAGGAAAGTTTCGATGAACTAACCTTTGAAGCTTGGATGAACACGAAGAACACTTGCAAGAACTTTATCTCTCTAGAAAATTCAGCAGCACTTCGTTATCTCAGGAATGCAATGAGGAACCTCTTCGGAGGGGAGGGGGGGGGGGGTATTTATAGACCTCCCCCCAACGGTCACTACACGTGGCAACCTCCCATTGGTCACATGAACGGCCACCACCCCCAAGGCCCATTGGGCTGGGCACCGGTTTAGAAGTCGGGTCAAGCCCACTTCCACAACACCAGCTCACCACTAACAAGCCAACCACTCAACGGCCACACCAGTAAAGCATGCCCGCATCAGCCTCAATACAGAGATACTTCAAATGGATAGATCACATCTCAAGGCACGTCAACATCGGCATGAACAGAATGCCAATCGCATGGCTTTCTCAACGGCCACGGCGGTAAAACCACCAAGAAAACCCCACGCCATCGGTCCTGTATAAAACCCTGATGATAATTTCTTGAAAGTGACCTGCGTCCAAGGGTTCTCCCACAAGGTTACCTTGACCCGGAAATCGCCAAGGAATTGGATTCAGGTGTATACAAGAGTCCGCTTCAGCCTGGGTACATCCTTTACTCCTTCACCCCTCACCTACTCTTCGGCCTGAAGCGGTGGGGGACTGGGGGACTACACCGGCCTTTGCAAATCAGGACAAAATCAAAGAAATCCAAAAATATACTAAGTCCACAACTACAACATTAGACATGCACCACAACATCCATAACATCGTGGTGCACCATCGGCCGCAACAAAGCTAGCGAACAAAGAATTCCCTCCAAAAGCGCAACACTTGAGGTCACAGGGCACTTATCGGCTTTGAGACCAGGACACGCACCACTCCTCCCGGATCAGTGCCGATTATCGTCCTCAAAAGCGTGAGCGCCAGACTACGGACAACACCGCCTCGGCCAAGAAGCAAACCGTACCCTCACCGGCTACCAGGGAACAAAAGAACACTCATCATCCTCGAACAGGAGACAACCACAAGGGCCTCCTCGGCCCCAAAGAGCGAAGAGCGGCCATCAACTGTCACGAGTGGGCACGGCCTTTATCGGCCATTCGTGACAAAGGGCGCTCATCTTTCCCACCAAGCAAGGACGCTCATCATCCAACCGAAAGGCAGCCCCAATGGCCTCCTCGGCCAACAATACGAACTTTAACCAACGGTCAGAAGGAGTAAGCAGCACCCTTAACGGACACTCAAGATAAGGGAGGCTCATCGTCTTCAAACAAGAACACAACCGCAGTGGCCTCCTCGGTCCAAAAACAAAATCCAGCCACCGAAGGTCGTGGGAAGGAAAGAATGTCTTCATCGTCCACATCAAGGGGAAGGTAACAGCCAAATCCAGAATAGGCCCACCAACGCCACGACAGAAAACGGCCAGGGTGGTCCCACGTCGGCCGAGAGCATCAAGCACAGAAATCTACTCTCCTTCACTTCGTCTACATCTCAGCTCAGAGAGTGGGGGACTCCTGATGGAGTATATGGGCCTGGACCCCATGGCCCACATACTCGGAAGGACAGAAGGTACCACGATCACCTGGTGGGACCCTCGTCGGCCAGGTGACCTCCGTCGGCCAGGAAGCAGTCCACTTAGAATACGGTTCAGGAGCCAAGGAGAACCGGGTGACCTCGTCGGCCGGGTCGTCGTCGGCCGTGCCCTCGTCGGCCGTGCCCTCCTCGGCTACGGGCGGCCCCCAGGATAGGATTTTACACTTGATCATTTGTACACTCATTGTATTCGGCCCAATAGCGGTCCAGTTGTAAATGGGCCTCCCAAGCCCAAGACTTGGGAGCCCAGCCCGTATTTTCCCTATAAATACTACCTCTAGGAGTAGTTGTAGGGGTTACAAGATCATTCTATTGAAGCATTTACTTGCACTTCTCTCTCTAGCTCTCACTTCTCTCTAGATATATACTTTATCAATGACATATTTAATCCATTATTAAAATGTTACACAATACAATTAATAATCTATTGATGTCATATTCAATATTGAACAATAATTATTATTAGTATATGTAAGCAGTTCAACATATTTAAATAACTCGAACAATATAGATATAATTAAATGAATAGTGATCACTAACAAAAATAAATAAAATTATTCAAACAACATCGATATAAAATCATTTATCCATAATATGATATTGTGTATTTAGTCTTTTTTATAATTTTAAATAAAATATTCGAATAAGACTGCGGACAAAGTTTTGTGCCTCGACTTGCGGAATCTCTATGTCGATACACTCATCAAATAAGTGTATCTCTCTTCACTCGTCAGCTACTCAGCGGCTCAGCCATCGTGACTCGCAAGCTTATGGAACAAGATAAGGTGGTGTGGACATTAGTACATTACTCATTAGTCATTAGGGTTTGTTTGTTTGAATGTAATGTAGTAGAAGCCTAGAAGGTTATAGTGGGTCTGGGAAATTGGACCTTTATTTTTTGTATTTTAGTATTTGTAACCAACATAAGTATTAATTTTGGACTTCAAACTTGTAATGAACTTTTAGGGAAAAGAGGCAAATAAGGCCACGTACTAACCAAAAAAGGTCAAATAAGGCCTTATTTATGAGGCTCTGTCCGGCCTTCGCCATTTGGGGTGGTTCTCGGTTGAATATTTTGATGATTTTTTTTACCATATTATTCATTAAGTCTAGTTTACTCATACCAAATTTCAAATAAAAATTTAATCGAGAAGGCATTCAAATGAATTCTTGAAGATAACTGCGCTTTTAACTGCGCAATTATCTTAAAGAATTCATTTGAATGGCTTCCCGATTGAATTGTTAGCTTAAATTTGGTATGAGTAAACTAGACTTACTGAATAAGATGCTCAAAAAAAGTCATCAAAAAATTCCACCGAGAACCAACCCAAATGGCGAAGGCCGGACAGAGCCTCATAAATAAGGCCTTATTTGACCTTTTTTGGTTAGTACGTGGCCTTATTTGCCCCTTTTCCCTGAACTTTTACAATATTTTAGAATTTATAGAAATCGCTGGGTGGGAGTCGGTACGATATTATACCGGTGTACAGCGGTATTTGAAAACATTTACCGTTACCGTACCGAAATATATCGATACGGTATGATACCGTACCGAAAATGACGGTATACCAATATTCCAGTATTTTTCGGTATTTTTCGGTACGGTAAGTGCGGTATACCGATTTTCCAGTATTTTTGCCCAGCCCTAAATAAGAATAAGAAGAAAAAACTACTTCTAAGAACGGAAGATTGTAAACCCTCCCTGTAAGCTCTTCTACTTTTTTTATTAAAAAATCGAAATGGCTGGTACAGTAATTAATCTGAGAAATGCTGCCGCCGCCGCATCTACCGGCTTCACCAAATTCCTACGCCACAAAATCCATTCCACCCCCATAACCCCTTCAATCACCAACCGCCTCTTTTCTTCTTCCACCACCGGTGCAGATCCACCCTCCGGCGATCCCTACTCAAAAAGTAGTTTTTCGATCACACTCTCTCCGCCCATGCAAAATAATATTTCGAATCCTGATAAAATTTGTTTTGTTAACTTCAGTTTATTTTCGCGGCGCGCCACAGAGATTCAAGTTGGAGAATCCGTTCCAGATCGACGGGCCAGGGAACGTGATTGAAGTGGATGAAGCGAAGGAAGGGACGGTGGTGCGAGTGGCTATGCCGGGCGTCGCGGCGGACGGGTTCAAGGTGTGGGCGGAGAAGGACACGGTGTTCTTCGCCGGTAAAGGGGAAATCGAAATGGAAGGAGAAGAGTCCGGGAGAAATTATGGAGGTAGTCTTGAATTTGACCCGGAATTACATATGGCTCAAGGGGTTAAGGCCGAGATGAAGAATGGAATCCTTAAAATGCTGGTCCCAAATGCAGGTGGACAGCAAAATAATCCATCTTCTCATTAACTGTTTTCTTTTATGAGTCAATTGCTCTAGTATAACTGTAACTATAGATGTGTTAAAAGAAACTATTATTGTTGTTTTAATTCATTTACAGACTAAATAATTCTTTGAGCAATTTCTGTTATTTTATTCCATTGCACCGAAAACATATTCCTATTTTTTGAAGTTGGGCTGTCTGCCTGCGTCTATCATGGAAACCCCGGGGGATCTTCCTTAATTCCGATTAGTTCTGTTCAATTCCCGGATTTCCAGTCAGTCGTGACATAGCAGGCCACGCAGCCATGTCGCCACGGTGGTCTGAGTATTCTACCGCAGAAGCGATGGAACGTCTACAACTTTGACAACCGCGAGAAAGTCCGGCTCTGGAAGAGCAACTCAAAAGTGAGGATGCTCATGAATGTGATATGGAATTACGGCTTGAGAGGCACAGACAAGTGCGTGGATTAGCATCCGCCTCCTCGAAGAAACACATTTCTCTTTTTCGGAATTGCGATCCGAAGCGATGCTTAAGAGCGGTTCAAACCATGTCATTTTGTTTGAAGGAATTCGGGTTTTCGGCCTGATTGAAGAGAATGATCCATCTACAGACCAAAGGCCTATTAAGAAGGTGAAAAGAGTTGTGATTGCAAAGGATGGCAAGTATAAACTAGGATATGAATGGTTGGGAAAGGAACAAAATTGCCTTGGTACAAAGAAAATCTGACCAATAAATCTACTAAAAATAGCAATGGTGATCAAGAAGACATCATGATGCCTTCTGAGAACAAGAGCAGTGGTAAGAAAATGTTTGAGGAGCTGCTAGACAGAGACTTTTGCTGATGGAGATGAGGTGTGTACTCCTACCCATAAGTTCCCATAACAACAAATTTATTTTTGAAAAGGTAATTGGTTGTTCCCTATTCTATTTATTTAGGATTAAGATGAGCCTTTTCTTTATAAGATTAATGCTTGTGCTTTTAACTCTTGGAGAATAGAGTTATAATAAAGTGGCACAAGTTCTGAACTCATCAAATGCTTTTGTAGTTTCCAATTATTCTGATGTATCTTGACTACTGAGATAACAGTAACCAACATAGTACACTTGTTCATGTTTTATTTGTGTTTTAGAATGTACAAATTTGTGGGAAATGCTATATCTTTCTATTATTTTCACTCTTTAAGGTCCGAATCATAAATTTTTTTTATAAGAAAAATTGAAAATAATAATCCCAATTATTTCCGGTCCGCTATTAATAATCCCAACTATCGATTATTCCTGGGTGGTACCAACTATAAGGACTATTTTCCAAAAATAGTCCCTAACTGACTACAACATGGTATAGTAGGTCAAATTTAAATGTGAACTATGAGTAAGCTATAAACAATCCCAACTATAGTTGATCTTCTTTTATTAATCCCAACTATCAACTCTCAATTTTTGGAAGACATAGAAATATTTTTATAAATTTCCAAACTAAATATTTTTAAACATGTAAAAATAATTATGAAAATTATACATATGTACTGAAGTTAAATAAAATATTTTTTAGTCATATTTTGATTTATTTTCACTAACATTTCATTTTGTGTTTTTTTTTTCAATTCATTTTTCCCAGTCGTGTTAACAAGTTATGATTTTTTTTTATTTTTTATTTTATCCAATTTTACATTTTTTGTTTCCAAAAAGTAATCTTTGAACATTTTTTTTTACGATTTAAAGTTTTATTCTAGATTTTTCTTGAAAACATATTTTATTTAATTTTTATGCTATTTTAATTCTAAAAATCTTAAATCTCTATTTTTTCCATTTTACATTTTAGTATTTTTAATTTCTTTCTGTTTTCTTTATTTTATATTATTATATTCTATAAATTATACGTAGTATGATATAGTTTTTCATTTAATTTTAGTGATTTGGGGAATAGGTTTTGGAGGTTTTGGCTATTTTTTAATGAAAATGTATTAATATTATAATTTTAAGTGATATAATGGAAAATGTAAACAATGTAGAAAAGTGTATGTCAAAAGTAATACTCCTGTCGTCCCTCAAAGTTTGTCATAGTTTGACTTCACAAGTTTTAAGGAGATGAATTTGACTTTACACTGTAGCGACACTGTTTCACACTGTAGCGACATTGTTTGGCACTGTTTGACATTGTTTGGTATAGATTTGTTTACGAAATAAGGAAGTTGAAAAAGTAAGACAAATATTTTGGGACATCCGTTTTGGGAAAGTGTGACAAACTTTAAGGGACGGAGGTAGTAATAATCCCAACTATTTTGGTAGAAAAAGTGTGAACATTTGGTAAATATTTTTCCATCTTCATTTCAAGCTATTCACACTTTTTCTACATTTTTTACAATTTCCACTATATCATTTAAAATGATACTCCGTCCTTCCCAAATTAAATTTTAATTTGGAATATTGAACTTTATACAGATTGTGATGTAGTTTTTGAATATGTTCATTATAATTATTAAAATTGAATTAGTTATCAGTACGGAAGATTAAACTCTAACATTGTTTGACAAAAAAACTGTTAACTTTTCCAAACAATTTGAGACGAAGGTAATAATATTAATACCTTTTCATTATAAATAGTCAAAACCTCTTAAACTTATACTCCAAATCTCTAAACTCAAATGATAAACTATATAATATAAGTCATACTCGCTAGAATATATTAATATAGAATAAAGAAAGTAGAAAGAAATTAAAAATACTAAAATGGAAAAACTAGGAAATATAGATTTTTTGAATTAAGTTATGAAAAATTAAATAAAATATATTTTCATGAAAAGTTAGAATAAAGCTCTAAATCGTAAAAAAATTAATCACAATTTTCTTTTTGAAAATAAAAAATGTAAATTTGAATATAGTAAAATAATTCAAAATCATAAGTTGGTATCACAACTGGGAAAAATAAATTGGAAAAAAGAAAAAAAATAAAATCTGAGTGAAAATTAATAAAAAATTACTAAAAAATATTTTATTTAACTTTGGTACATTTATAGAATTTTCGTAATTTTTTTACATCTTTAAAAACATTTGGTTTGGAAATTTATAAAAATATTTCTCTATCTTCTGAAAACTAAGAGTTGATAGTTGGAATTAATAAAAGAATATCAACTATAGTTGAGATTATTAATAGCGTACGCATAGTTCGTATTTAAAATTGACCTACTATATTAGGTTGTAGGCGGTTAGAGACTATTTTTGAAAAATGGTCAGAATAGTTGAGACCATCCAGAAATAATCGATAGTTGGAATTATTAATAGTGGACCAGCAATAGTTGGAATTGTTATTTTCAATTTTTCCTTTCTTATAACTACGCAGTAATCCGTATTATTTTAGTAATGAGTCATCTTCATCTTTGGTCTTAATAGGTTTGATCTTGTAGATATCTGATAAATGTGTATTTTATAACTATCAAAGTCTAATGTACTACTACATGTTAAATATGGGACTAAAACTAATCCAAGTAAAAATGCTCTAAATGTTAAATTGCGAGTGTAATTGGACACTGCGGGAAAAGAAAATAAAAAGCAGAAGATGGCAAGTACATAGTAAGTTGTAAATAAAAAAACGCGCCTTCTTCAATTTTGTTTGACGCGTGAACCCTAAGGGTGTGTTTGGGATTTTGAGTGTGAAGGAAGGGGAAGGCTTTGAAGGAGAATAGAGAAAAGGGAAGAGGAGGGAGATGGGAAGAGATTCCCTCCTCTTGTTTGGGAGTTGCAAATTTCAAAAGAGGAGGGTTTGTGTACTTGAGGTTTGGAGAAATGAAACGAGTAACAACTCATAGAGATTTTATTCAGAAACGATTTTAGTTTCAGAGTATAAATCTCTCATTTACGTAGCTAGATTTTATAAAACCATCAAATCGAGGGAATTAGAAAACGCTGGTTTTGGGGGATTTAGAAGGGGTTTATAACACCCCAAAACCTTTCACTCGTATTATTTAAACTCCCAAACACAAATAGAAGAACTTATTTCCCTCACATGCTTCCGCTCCCCTCCAAAAACCGACTCCCCAAAACACCCTCCTTTCTCCGATGGAAGTGCGCAGCTTTATGCGATTTAGGTTTCTCTGAAAGGGCGCAACTTGGTTATGGACTTATGGTACTGTTTAGTTGTGAGACAGCGATAAATTTAGATAGTGATTGATAATATTAAACCAACATGCGTATTATAAAAGATTTGTAAAAACAACAAGCACGATATACAATAGTCCGATATATATATATATATATATATATATATATATATATATATATATATATATATATATATATATATATATATATATCGGGTATGTTTTGGAGTTTGGAAGGAAGTGAAAGGAAAGGCTTTGGAGGTATGTTATTGGAGGGGAAAGGGAGGGGAGAGCGAGAAAACCTTTCTTTGTATTTGGGAGTAATAAATTTGGAAGAAGAATTTTTTTGAATGAATTATAATTAAAATTACTTTGAGATATGATGAATTTAAATAATTGAACTGATATTTATTTTTAATTGAACTTGAATTATCATTTCATTAATTATCCTTCAAAGTCCTCCAAATTGGGAGAATTCAAAAATTGAGCATTTAGAGGGTTTTGGAGGGTCATGAAAGCCCTCCAAAACCATCTCCTCCAATTTTATAAACTCCCAAACATGAAAATAAGGGTCATAAACCCCATTAACCTTCTCCTCCCCTCCAAAACCCAACTCCCATACACACCCTAATGGTCTAAAGTGGATTATTGCTTAAGGGTATGTTTGGGAGTTTGGAGGGAAGGGGAGGGGAAGGCTTTGGAGGTATGTTGTTGGAGGGGAAGAGGGAAGGGTGAGGAAGTCCTTCTTTGTATTTGGGAGTAATAAAATTGGAAGGAGAGAGTTTTTGAATGAATTATAATTAAAATCACTTTGAGATATGACGAATTCAAATCATTGAGCTGATATTCGTTTCTAATTTAGCTTAAATTAACATCTTGTTAATTATCCTCCAAAACCCTCCAATATGGGGGAACTTAAAAGTTAAGCATTTGGAGGGTTTTGAATGGTTAAAAAAGCCCTCCAAAACCACCCTTCCAATTTTTTAAACCCCCAAACATGAAAAGGAAGGTCATAAACCCCCATTAACCTTCCCCTCCCCTCTAAAAACCAACTCCCAAATACACTCTAAAAAGATATGAATCCAAATGTTGTTTAGGTTTTTTGGTGTTTCTTTGGGTTGAAATCTCTAATTTAATTAGTACTCGTAATTTTTTGGCTAGATATGCATTTTGTTTTTTCCATGTGAACAGTTTTGGTTCAAAAGAAATATTATCTCATGCGGTTTGTAATATTTTGGATTGATAATATTTAAACTGATAAATTATACTCCGTATAGTATATACCTATGTAGCACCGATACCGGTACGCGGAATCGCGGAAACGCGGACACGGGTACGGGGATACGGCAAAACAAAAAAAGTAGGATACGGATACGGAGCCATATTTTTAAATATTAAAAGTTATGGGGGTGTATTTACAAATATTAAAAGTTACAGGGGTGTATTTATAAATATAAAAATAGATTTTTTTTGGAAATATATACATATAATATATATTCCTATGAAATATACAAAAAATAAATTTTTTGGATATATATATATATATCCTATATATACATATATACCCATTCATTACATATACATCATAATATTTCTCATATACACTAGTGCATCTCGAAATATAAATGTAGACATGTAGTCGATAAGTCATTAATTTAAAATGAGAAATAAGTCAAACAACTACAATCTTGAAATTAAAAGTGCAAGTACCAAAGTTCTAGAATAATTAAGATAGAAAACAATATTTTAAAAGCTCTAACATCTAATACATATTTTCACTCGAAGTATTAATTTCCAGAAATAATATCATCTTCCAAAAAAACTTCCAATGATACGGGTATCCGTCAGGATACGAGTATCGGAAACTTTCAAAAAATTACAAAAAAAAAATGGAAACTTTTAAAAATTACAGATACGGCCCGGGAACGTACGGTACGGGTATCCTAGAGTATCGGATACGGGAACGTATCCGATACGTCGATACGCTACCTTAGGGAAGTATCCGTGCAAGTGAATAGGTGTTTA